ATCATCATGATCAGCATCATCATCATCGACATCACCATCACCATCATCATCATCATCATCACCACAATCGCTATCACCATCCTAATCCTGATCAGCATCGTCATCATCATCATCATCATCAGCATCAACATCGTCATAATCACAGCCATCAGCATCACCATCATCATCATCGACATCATCAACATCAGCATCATCACCATCATCATCATCCTAACCACCCGCATCAGCATCACCATCAACAGAATCATCATCATCAGCATCAACAACAACATCGTCAACACCATCATCATCATCGTCATCATCAGCATCATCATCATCGCCATCATCATCAGCAGCAGCAGCATCATCATCATCGTCATCGCCATCGCCATCGCCATCATCATCAGCATCAGCATCATCATCATCATCATCATCATCATCATCAGAATCGTCATTATCACCATCGTCATTCTCAGAATCATCATCAGCAGCATCAGCGTCATCGTGATCATCATTAGCATCATCCTTATCATCACCACCACCTGTTTCATCCCCACCCCCATCATCGCCATCACCATTACCATCTCCGCCATCATCCGCATCATCATGACCACCATTACCAGCACCGCCACCACCACCATCTTCAGCATCTTTATTTTCAGCATGTTATCCTTCTTCATTATCGTCATCCCAATCACCACCACCATTATCGTCATCATCATCATTGTCTATCATCGGCATCATCGTCATCACCGACATCGGCATCACCATCATCATCATCATCAGCATCAGCATCAGCATCGCCATCATCGTCAGCATCATCATCATCGTCATTGGCATCGTCATCGTCATGATCATCGTCATCGTCATAGTTATCGTAATGATCATCATCATCATCATCATCATCATCATCATCATCATCATCATCATCATCATCGTCACCAGCCCCCTCCTTCTTCATGCTCTTCCTGCTCCTCCACGCCTCCTCCCGCGCAACCCCCTTTCTCTACTCGCCGCCCCCTGCCCTGCCCCCTCCCTGCCCCTTCCCGCCCCCCTCCTCCCACCCCCGGCTCACTTTCACTCTCCTCCCGATCTCTCCTCCCGATCTTCATCCCCGCCCACCCGATCTCTCCTCCCGATCTCTCCTCCCGATCTCTCCTCCCGATCTCTCCTCCCCGATCTCTCCTCCCCGATCTCTCCTCCCGATCTCTCCTCCCGATCTCTCCTCCCCGATCTCTCCTCCCGATCTCTCCTCCCGATCTCTCCTCCCGATCTCTCCTCCCCGTTCTCTCCTCCCGATCTCTCCTCCCCGATCTCTCCTCCCGATCTCTCCTCCCGATCTCTCCTCCCCGTTCTCTCCTCGCCGTGTGCAGCACTCCCGGCCCCCCCCCCCCCCAGGACGCGCGGCGCGCGCCGCGGGGGAGGGCCGAGGGGGCGGGCCCCCTCGGAAGGCTCGGAGGGCCTCGGGCCTCCGGAGGAGCTGTGCGGAGCCCTCTCCGAAGCCCCCGCGGCCTTCTGAGGACAGGGGCGAGGCCGTGGGCGACGACGAGGACGGTGACGACGACGACGAGGACGACGAGGACGAGGACGAGGACGAGGACGAGGACGAGGACGAGGACGAGGACGAGGACGACGACGACGACGACGACGACGACGACGAGGACGAGGACGAGGACGACGAGGACGACGAGGACAAGGACGAGGAGGACGAGGACAACGACGAAGCCTTGTCCGAAGCCCCGCCGCCTTCAGAGAAGGCCTGCCCCTTCTCGCTTGACCCCGCGGCGCGCCGCCGGGAGGAGGGGGGGGCAGAGAGACTGAAGGCCCGACGCTTCCTCCAGGGGCAGAAAGTCCCCAGGTGGCTGGGCATCGCAGGAGCAGCGGGGGTAGTCAGAGGCAAGCGGAGCAGAGTACAGTCAACCAGTATAGTAAGGATGCGCGATAAGGATGCAAGGGCCTTGGAGGCCCATTTCGAAGCTTTTCGAGCAGGGCGCGGCCAGCGAAAGTGGCCAAGGATGGACCCAGGAGGCAAGGATGCAAGGGTATCTTGGGAGCGTTGCCATCCTTACCATGCGGGTTGACTGTAGGGGGAGGAGGAGCAGGTCTCAAAAATTGCGCCCTCTGCGCGAAAATGGCATCAGGCTCCTGGGACTGCTGGCTTGCAGAGATCTCAAGATAGCCCCAAGATGGTCCCAGGCAGGCCCAACGGGGCCCCCAGAGGCCAAATTTACCTGATGTTCCTGTCCAAGAGGGCCCGAGAGGCCCCCAAGATCGCCCCAAGTCAGCCCAAGAGGCTCCCAGGACGGCCCCAAGACTTCCCAAGAGGGCCCCAAGACGGCTCAAGAGGCTTCCCAAGACGGATCCAGAGACTCTCAAGAGGGCCCCAAAATAGGAAATCCGAACTGGCGTGTCGAACGCTTCCCCGAAAGATGGCCCCCAGAGGCCTTGAAGACCCCCGAAGAAGAGGCCCCGAACCCCGTCCTGGCCTGCCAGCCCCCACCGGCTCCCTATGCTCCAACTGTCCCTCAGCCTGCCAGGCCTGAGCTTGATCGAATCGCGAAATCGGATCGGATCTGAAACAGACCGAACCGCCAGCGAGGCTCTCCCTATGCTCCAACTGTCCCTCAGCCTGCCAGGCCTGAGCTTGATCGAATCGCAGAATCGGATCGGATCGGAAACAGACCGAATCGCCAGCGACATCGTGTGTTCCCCAACGTGGACCCCAGAAGCTTTGGTTCTTCTCCCCAGAACCAGTGTTTCACCAGGTTCATTTTCTGACGGCCCCTTGACCTAGCAGGGGCCCCTAAAGGCCGAAAACGGCCAAACACACACACAAACACACACACACACACCTGCCGTCGTGATTCACACCGAGGAATAAGGCGGCCCTACGCAGGGCCAGGCGATGGCGCAGGGGCGCCGGCATCACTCGAACGTCGCATATCATGTATACAGGCCTAAGTAAGGGAAGCGGGAGGACGACGACGACGACGACGACGACGACGACGACGACGACGACGACGACGACGAGTGGGCGGCGGTCGTGGCTGTAAGCCGAAGCGCATAGAACCGAATGCATCGAAATCGCGGCCCCAGCCGGCGAATCGAGTCGCATCCGATCGGATCGTGGGCGGCCCTGCCTGCCTCCCCTTCCCCTCCGCGCGCCCTCGCACCGCCGGCCCCCCTCCTCGGCGGCGCGCCGCAAGAGGGGGAGCGAGAGGGGGCAAGCCTCCTCAGAAGGGCCTTCTGGGGAGAGGCCCACACCCCTCCTCCTCCTCCTCCTTCTCCTCCTCCTCCTCCTCCTCCTCCTCCCCTCCTCTCCCCCTCCTCCCCCTCCTCCTCCCCCTCCTCCTCTCCTCCCCCCCCTCCTCCTCCTCTCCTCCTCCCCTTCCTCCTCCTCCTCCTCCTCCTCCTCCTCCTCCTCCTCCTACGCCTCCTCCGCCTCCCTCCGCCTCCTCAGCAGGCGGCGGAGACTCTCGGAATCCCTCTCTGGCCTTCTGAGAAGCGTCCTCTGCAGCTCCGGGCCTCTTCCGGGGAGGCCCGCCCCTCTCAGCCTTTCCCCCCCCCTGGGCGGACCGCCGAACTCCCTCAAAACTCACGCTCGTCGTCGTCATCGTCGTCGTCGTCGTCGTCGCCGCCGTCGCCGTCGTCGTCGTCGTCGCCATCGTCAGCGTCGTCGTCGTCGCCGTCGTCGTCGTCGTCGTCGCCGCCGCCGCCGCCGCTGCCAGGGTGTGTTGCCGCGTGCCTGCAGCGCGGGGTCGTTGAACATGACGACGCCGCCCATGCCTCCGGCAGTGATGATGTGCGACGCGTAGAAGGAGATGACCGCTGCGGGCGAGCGCCAACATTCGAACTCGAGGGGCGCGACCCCAAGAGATCGCTCGCCCCTCTTCCCTCGCGTGCGCCTCGTCTACGCTCTCCACGCCAGGGCCATCGCCGTCGTGGTGGGAGCCGTGGAGGAGTGTATGGAACAGGCGATGGGAGTCGGCACAGCAGGGGTGGCAGCGCGTAACAGTCGCAACAGACAAGACAAACCATAGCGCCAGCGCTACAGTACAGCGATGGAAACACACAGAAACTGCGGCTGGTGTGGCTGCAGAGGCCCGAGTAATGGCAGCGGTAGGGGTAGCGATGGTGGTCGCGGTAGCGGCAGAAGAGACAGTATTGGTGGAGGCAGCGATGGCAAGGCAGTGGCAGCCTGTGTCACTGAAAACGATCTGGGGCTGCGGGGGGTAGCGACACCAAAACAATGACCCGCGATTGACACTAGCCACCAGACCGTAGAAATCAACCGTCCGCACTGGCAAGCCGCTGGAGCCTTCCGTGGGAAGCGGCCATAAGAATTCGACAATCCCTCGGGCGTACCTAGCGCGTGAGGCACTGCCCGTACCAAAATACCTCCCCAGCGGGGGAGGTCGACCTGGCTCGATCGGAGGGGGGGCCGGAGAACGCCACAACTGCTGTTGGCTTCCATGACGCGTAAAGAAGGCTCTGGAGCGACACGAGGCGACGCCAGCGGCCCAAAGAAGCCCCACCAACGAGAAACCAAAGACGCCAATCACCGCACCGCGCCCCAAGAGAGGCCCCGAACACCCATGGCTGGCACGCTTGCGGGATCTACGAAACCGGTAAGGCGCGGAACTCACACGAAAACCACGAACTGCGCTTCGCGCGCGCCTGGGTGCGAGCATGGCAAACTGGCAACAGATGTGGCTGGCCACTCTCGGCGGGAAGTTGCTTTGGCGATGTTGCAGTGGCGATTATGGAGATCATTCGCGGAATTCTCGGCGGGAAGTTTCTGGGACTGGTCCTGCCGGGTGAGCGGCTGCGGGCGCCGCGTGGGCGCCTCGACGCATCGTGGATGCGGCGGGGCTTCGCCTGGTGGGCGCCTCGCGGGCGTCTCGCGCTGCTTCAACGGCGCGGCTTGCGGTACACGGCTTGGACCGTGTTGCTACCACCTCAAGGCTTGCAACGCACAGCCTGCACCCCGTAGCCTGCACCGCGTGGCTTACACCACACAGCTTGCCCAGCAGAACCTGTATCACACACAGCTTGCGCCACGTTCATTCCACCACCCCGCTTACCCCACACAGCTTGCACAACGCGTAGGTTGCACCACACTAGTTGCGGCGCGCGTAACATGCACCGCACAGTGCGCGCCAGAGAGCTTAACAGTCAACACACTCAGAGACAAGAGCTCACTGTTTGAGGTCCACGATGGCTATCATGTACATGTACGCTGCAATAAGCGGGACGTCGAACAAGTGTGGCGCAACGTGTGCGATGCAATGTGCGTGTCGCGCGAGGCCCATGGGCAAGACCCCGTGGGCAGGAGCCTGGACCCCCTTATGACGACCCAAGGCTCCGAGGCTTGCACCCATGTGGGACCGCAGGGGCGGGACTGGAGGCCTCCTAGATGGGGTCCGAGTAGATGGGGTCGGAGGATCGCGCCGCATCGCCGATACATCGGCGATGCATCGGCGATGCATCGGTGATGCTCCGGCGATGCATAGTCGACGTCGGCGAAGCATCGCCGACGTCGGCGTGGGGGAACACGGGCTCCACATCGAGCCGCATCGCCGATGCATCGGCGAACAAAGGCGCGATCCTCCGACCCAATCTGCTCTGCCCCCATCTAGGAGGCCTGGAGGGACTCTGGAGGCTCTTGGAGCATGGGAGGAGGAGAGAGGGAGGGAGTTGAGTGGAGGAGGAGGAGGAGGAGAGGGAGGAGGAGTGAGGAGGAGGGGTAGGAGAAGGAGGAGGAGAGGATGAGAGGCGGAGGGGAGGGAGAGGGTGAGGGGAGGGGAGGGGTAGGGTTCCGGGGGGGAGGAATGAGGGAGGGGAGGAGAGGAGGAGGAGGCTTACAGGATAAAGAGGAGGAGGAGGAGGGGAGGAGTGCGGAGCAGGGGCAGGGAGAGGGGGGAGGAGGGAGGAGGACAGGGAGGAGGACGAGGAGGAGGAGCAAGGAACGAGGGGGGCACGAGGAGCCGGGCTCTTCGGGCATTTCTTTTCTCTCCCTCCCTCTCTCTATCTCTCTCTCTCTCTCTCTCTCCTGGCCGTGCAAGCGCCGTCGAGAAAAGCGGCTCCTATGTCGGTCTCCGCGGTGTACGTGATGCTGTCGCAGGAGTCCTCGAAGAGGTAGATGGGCGGGTCGCGCTTCGGGAGCCTCCGGGCCGCGGGCACGCCCCTCCCCGGGCCCGGCATCGCCCCTCGTGTAGTCGCCTTGCTGCCCTCGTCCCGCCTGGCGCCTCTCTCCTTCGCGCTGCCTCCCGCCTCCCTCCTCCTCTTCCCTGCCCCAAGCCTCCCTGCCTCCTCCTCTGCCCTGCCTCAGGCCTCCCTGCCTCCTGCCTCCCTCCTCCTCCTCCTCCTCTTCCCTGCTTCCCTCCTCCTCCTCCCTGCCCCTCCCTCCGCTGCCCTGCCTCATGCCACGCAAGGGCCGCCCGCTCTGCGAGCCCCTGGCGGGTCCCGCGGAGAGCAGAGAGTCCTCTTCGGACCAGCGGTCTTGCCGACAGGGCCACCCTTGGGGGCACGAGGCGCTGTGGGGGATGGGTGCAGACTTCGGCTTGCGACTGGAGTCGGTTGGACTCGCAACCTATCTGCTCAGCGATATGTCGATACAGAACGTAGATCGGTCCCCCTCTCTGTACATCTTGGACGCCCGAATGATACGGGAGAACTGCTGTCCAGGGTAACTCCGGTTTGGGCCCCGGAGGCGCGAATCTGTAGTTACCCCTGACTGCCCCCAGCCCTGATGATTCGGGAGGGCTGGACGCCCAAGTTATCCGGGACAACTGCGGTCTGGAGTAACTCCAGTTTGGGCCCCCGAGGCGCGAATCTGTAGCATCCCTAACCGCCCCCAGCCCTGATGATTCGGGGCTCTGAACATTTACCTTTCTATCCATCCGCGGTATGCCTGGCGATCCAGATTACCTAATTGTCCATGTCCCATGGGATATTCAGCCACGGGACAGCTGAGGACGACCATGGGACAAGCACAAGACAGCCACAAGAAAGCCAGGGGGACAATTGCGGGGCGTCTACAGAACGACCACGAGACACCAACAAAACATTCACGGAACGAACACCACACCCTCGCGCAACTTCGCCTCGCCCTCACATTCTTACCTCGCAACGCGGCAAAGGCAGACCGCGCACGCGCGCGCGGGCATGCAGGGTGACGGCACTGCGAATACGCCTCGCCTGCAAACACGTCACGCACGACACGAAACGAAACCGAAACCGAAACCGGCTACCGGATTGGGGGACTGGTTCTCACTTGAATCTCACCCCCCAAGCTTCGACCCCCTCCCTGGGTGCTGCGACCTGCGTAACCGTCGGCATACTCGTGAGCTCCAGGGGGGGGGGGTCCATCGGAGTAGGGTCCTACGGGAACCCCAGCTGTTCCCCCCTGCATTGCCGCTGCCAGCTGCGCAAATGTCGCCACTCTTGTGAGACCCTGGGCAGTCAAAATGGGCGCGGTCCTGCGCAGCCAACTGCGCAAGTGATGACATTTTCGTGAGCTCCAGGGAGGTTGGGAGGTCCAGCGGGGTGGGGTCCTGTCTGAAAGCATGAACCTCCGTCGTCGTTGGCTCCTGCCCATTTGTCGTCGCCGTCCTGCCTTCTGTCCCCTCCCATATCGCTTCTCCTGGACTTGCCTCACGTGGGTCCATGGCCCATATCGCTTCTCCTGGACTTGCCTCACGTGGAACGCCACGTGCTCCATATGTAGACTGCGCCTGGGGTCCCATGCCCCTGCCACGAATCGCCCGCTCTGGCCGGGCCCGCCCACTCCGACATCCGCTGCAGACAGGCTTCGCATGGGGGACAACGGGCCCGGAAAGAAACGGATCCTTCCCCAGGGACCACCTCTTCATCCCCAGGGATCCTTCCCCAGGGGCCACCGCGGGACCTTCCCCAGGGACCACCTCTTCGTCCCGAGCCGTCCCCCGCCCCTCCCGGGGCCCGTGGAGGGCCCCGGGGAGGCCACGGTGGCGCGAAGAGCCTCGGGACCCTGCTCTCCCGCGGGACCCGCCTCCCCCAGGGCGAGCAGGCTGGGCACGTCCCTCTCTCTCCGCGCACGGCCGACCGAGGGGCCCCGAGCGGCACGCCATGCAACCCAGCGTTCGTGGGGAGACCAAGAGGCACGCATCCGGCGGCGGCGACGAGGGAGGCCCGGGAGGCCCAGGGGAGCACGGGCGCGAAGGGCAGAGGCAGGGCTACCTTTTGGAGCATCGCTGAGCCGATGCCCATCCCCAGCGGCGTGGCCTGGGCCCCACTTGCCGATCTGACCCCCGTGGACGGGGATGTGGGCCCTTCCCTTCGGGTTTCGAGGGGCGTCCCCAACTGGGGTGGCAATTTGGTGGGGGTCTCGAAGGGCACGAGGATGGGGATTCGGGATGGGCCTGTCTTCCACCACCACCACCACCACCACCACCACCGTGAGCAGGAGGGGGGAGCGGGGGCCCTCCTCCTCCTCCTCCTCCTCCTCCTCCTCCTCCTCCAACTTCTGGTGGTGGTGGTGGAAAATCGGGTCGGGCGAAAGGGGGGGATAGCAAGGGGGGGGTTGAGAATCAGCTCACGTAGCTGATTTTCCCGGCGCCTCCTGGCGCCGGAGGCGGCTATGTATCGAGGAATGGGCCCCTCGGTGAAGCCGAAACCAGCTGCATGCAGCAAACTTCGTAACCCCCCCTTTCCCCATCCCCCCCCTCCTCGCCCGGCCCGAGACAACAGGCCCAGCAGTGGGGGTCCGTTGCACGGCGCTGACTTTTGCCTCCCCTGCGCTCCAGCGGGGCCGGCGCCCTCCGAGGGGGCCTGTCCTCCACCACCACCACCACCACTGTGAGCAGGAGGGGGGAGCGGGGGTCTCCTCCCCCTCCCCCTCATCCTCCTGCTCCTCCTCCTCCTCCTCCTCCTCCTCCTCCTCCTCCTCCTCCTCCTCCTCCTCCACCTCCTTCCCCCCTCCAACTTCTGGTGGTGCCGGTGAAAAACAGGCCCATCAGTGGGGGTCCGTTGCACGGCGCTGACTTTTGCCTCCCCCGCGCTCCAGCGGGGCCGGCGCCCTCCGAGGGGGCCTCCGCCGCCCCGGCGCCGCCGCCGCGCCGCCGCTCGGAAAGAAGCACGAGCTCTGCAGGGGTCCGGCGGGCGCCCCGGCCCCTCTCGACGGGCCTCGCTGCTCGCCCTCGGGCTGCGCACACACAGAGAGACAGACACAAAGAACAGGACTCCCCATATCTTCCCATACTTTCTGGGTTTTTGTCTTCACCCCCCCGCCCCACCACACTTCCCATAGTTTCCCATACTTATACGACCACCCTGCGGGTAATAAGGAGGTTAGGGGGGGAGGGGGGGGCCAGCAGTGGGCAGCTGTGGTGGTTGTTGCGTTGCCGCTCGCTCTTGGGACCATCGATCCCACTATCGATCTCACTCGATCGATCGCACTATCGATCTCACTCGATCGATTTCACTGTCGATCTCACCCTGGATCTCGCTAATTATCGATCCCACTATCGATTTCCCTATCGATATCACTCGATCTCACCATCGATATCATTATTCATCTCACTATCGGTCTCACTATCGATCTCATGATCGATCTCACGATCGGTCTCACTATCGATCTTACTATCGATCTCACATTCGATTTCGTCATCGGTCTCACTATCGTTTTCGCACCAGCGGGACACCGGGACACTGGCGGGACACCGGCGGGACACTGGCGGGACACCGGCGGGACACCGCGGGCCACCGCTTGCCGGAGGGAGCATCATTTGGTCTGGCCGGGACCCAGCCACAAGCGGGACACCGGCGGGACACCGGCGGACACCGCGGGCCACCGCTTGCCAGAGGGAGAATCAGTTGGTCCGGCCGCGCCTCAGCCACAGGAGACTTTCCTCTCGCCCGCCCACGCAGCTTCGCCTCGCCCGCACGCACGGCACGCACGAACACGAAACCGAAACCGATTTCCCGGTGGGGGGCTCTCAGTTCCACTTCGATCTCACCCCCCAACCTCCGAGTTTCGAGGTTTTTGTCTTCCACCCCACTTCCCATATTTTCCCATATTTTCTGGGGAATCGACGATTCATTGTGTCTGTGTGGTTTTCCCCCTCCTGAGTGCAGGCCCCTCCCCACTGGGCTCCGAGCTGATGGGTCGGAGGATCGCGACGCACCGCCGGCACATCGCCGAGGCATCGGCGATGCACTGGCGACGTCGGCGAGGCGTCGGCGACGCCAGCGCGGAGGAAGTCCAGCTCCACATCGAGCTGCATCCCCGATGCGTCGGCGATGCTGCGCGATCCACCGACCCCATCTACTCGGACCCCATCGGGGAGCCCTAGACTCCAAGATTGCCCGCAGGTGGAGAAGCTGTTTGACTCCGATGTGAGCATCGTTTAACCGACCCCGATCCCCACTCGCGTGGCCTGGGCCCCACTGGCCGGTTTACCCCCCCTTGATGGGGATGTAGGCAGTTTCTGTCAGATTTCGAAGGGTATATCCCCAACTGGGGGGATGAGATGGTGTGGGTCTGGATGGGGATGGGGATGGGAATGGGGATCGGTTAAACGAAACTGACGATGGGCGGTTGGCGAAGGGCACCGTGGACCGCATCCACAGGCTCGACTGGCCGGCTCGACCGTCCACCCCGGGCTCTGGGCCTACTCCTAGTCGCTCGGTCGCTGGTACAAGGCGATGACCGGATTGGGCCCCGCGATCTTCTCGGGCCTCGGGCTGACGCCCCCGGCCCACTCCTCGTTCTACCGCATCGCCTTGTGCGCGCTGCCAAGTTGTAGTGCGCAGCGCATTTCCCCTGGATGGCGCACTCCCCGACTTCGCCGCGCAGGAAGGTATCGAAAGCAAGCCTCATGCCAGGCTCGAGTTGGATCACGTGCTGCATCGCACTCTGATCACCCATCTGGCCGTTCAGGCAGAGGTTGATCGCTCTGACCCACGCCTCCAGAAAAATCATGCTGCCCCACCTGATGGCATAGACCGTGCCAGTGTTGGCCTGGCTGTTCTTCTCCCTGCCTGTAGTCAGCTTCTGGTCATACTGCGAGTCCACCGGTCCAGCGAGTGTGTTTCGGAAAGCTACAGACTTGGCTTCAGATCTGCTGGGGGGTGGGGTCTCGGTGGGCTCTGCCGGTGAGGGGGGGTTGGTCTACCATTTCTGGGGCCGCTCCCGCGCCGCAGGAGGAAAGGAGCGGGGGTGGCTTAGCCGTGGAGGGGGGGGGCGGCAATGCCGCCAAGGCCGCCAAGACGGCCAAAGAGAGCTCCTACACGCCCAAGATGGCCCCAAGACTGACCAAGAGGTCCCCAAGCGGCCCCAAGAGCGCTCCAAGAGGACCCCCAAGAGGGCCCCAAGAGGCATTCCCTAGGGTTTTCCTATGAGTTTGAAGATCTCACCTTTTCACGCTTCCGACGCTCCAAGACTGCCCAAGAGGCCCCGAAGACCGCCCCAAGACAACCCATGAGGCCCCCAAGAGGGCTCCAAGACGGCCCAAGAGGGTCCAGAAACGGCCCAAGGGGCTCCCAAGACGGCCACCAGACGGGATGGGTCCCAGGGGTTCCACAAGCCCCCCCCCCCCCGCAAATGGGAAGGAGCGGGGCGCCGCCGACGCCGCTGCCGCCGCCGCCGCCGCCAACGCCGACGCCGACGCCGACGCCGACGACGACGACGACGACGACGACGACGAACCAATCCACACCCACAGAGAGAGGGGGGGGCACCGGCAGCCACCGCCACGCCACGTCCACATGGCCACGAACACAAGGGAGGCGGGAGCGATCCCACTCGCGAGGCCTTCGCGACCCTGATCTCGGAAAGGCCTCGCGTCCACACTCCACCACGCCACGCCCACAGGCCCACGACCACCGGGGGAAGGGGAGCGATCCCATTCGCGAGGCCTTCGCGAGGTTCACGGGCGTACCCATGCAGTGGGGCATGGGGGGAGCATTCCCATTAGCATTAAGTCGGGCCTGTCCCCCTACAGGGGGATTTTCGACGAAAAATAATAAAAACAAAAATAATACAACTATAGCCCAAAAATAGTCTGGGGACTATGTTTTGAATATCTTTTGCCTTTTTGGGGTATTGTTGGGGTATTGCTTGATTTTTCGTCGAAAATCCCCCTGTAGGGGGACAGGCCCGACTTAACATTAGCAACGGGGGGTGCAACTCTGGACCATATACACAGAAAGAAATGGAGAGAGAGAGAGAGAGTGTGAGAGAGAGACAGAGTGAGAGAGGGAAAGAGGGAGAGGGACAAGAAGACAGAGATGGAACAGAGGAGAGACAGGGAGTGAGAACGAGCGATCACGAGAGGGGGAGAGAGAGAGAGAGAGGTGCGACGGAGAGGGAGCTCCCAAATCCCTATCCTTTCCACCTCCTCTTCATCCCCATCCTCCTCCTCCTCCTTCTCCTCCTCCTCCTCCATATTTTCTTCCTCCTCCTCCTCGTTCTCCTGTTCCTCCTGTCCCACTGTGCTTCTGTTGTCAGCAGCTGGTGCGCAGCAGCGGAGGCGCGCCGAGTCCGACGCTCCGGGCGGCCTGGCGCGGAGATCCTTCCAGTCGCACTTGCTCCCGGCCAGGTTGGGTATCAGCAGCACCCTCGTCCTCGGTGTGATCGCCGCCAGGATGTCGTCCACCTCGGGAACGTACTTGTTGGGCGTCACGTCCACGAAGACCTCTGCTGCTGTTCATCTTCCTCATCTTAATCAGCATCATGAACGCAATCACCATCACCATCATAATCATCATAATACAAATCAGAATTATCATCATTATCATCATCAGCAGCAGCAGCGGCCGTATCATCATCACCATCATCCCCATGGGGATGATGATGATGATGATGATGATGATGATCATCATCATCATCATCATCATCATCATCATCATCAGCATCCTCATCATCATCAGCAGCAGCATTATCATCAGCATCATCATCAGCATCATCATAGGCAGCATCATCATCACCATCCTCAACCAACTCACCATCACGATCATTATCATCATCATCATCGTCATTATCAGCAGCAGCATCATCATCAACAGCATCATCATCATCCTCATCGTCGACGTCATCATCGTCATCATCCTAATCAACATCCCCACTTGCAACCACCATCAACAACAACCTAACCGACAACATTATCAGCTTAACCATATCATCAGCATGATCGTGATCATAATCACCATCATCATCATCGTCATCATCATCACAAGCATCATCATCATCACCATCATCAGCATCAACAGCATAATCAGCATCACCATCATCATCATCATCATCATCATCATCATCATCATCATCATCATCATCATCATCATCAGCATGATCAGCACCATCATAATCATGATCATCCTCATCCTTATCATCATCACCACTATCGTTGCAACTACCATCAACAACAACCGAATCATCATCATTATCAGCATAACCATCATCATCAGCATGATCGTGATCATAATCAACATCACAATAATCATCATCATCATCATCAGCAGCATCATCATCGGCATCATCATCATCATCATCATCATCATCATCATCAGACTCAGCATCATACTCAGCATCATCATAAGCATCGTCAGCCTCGTCATCATCATCGCCATCATCATCATCATCATCAGCAGCAGCATCAGCAGCATCATCATGATCATCATCATCATATTCTTCATCATCAGCAGCAGCTCATCATTCTCAGCATCACCACCACCTACACCATCATCAGCATCAACAGCATCATCATCAGCATCAGCAGCAGCATCATCGTCATCATAATGATCAGCACCATCAAAAACCTTACCATCATGATCATGATCATCATCATCCTCATCATCATCATCATCCCTGCCATCGTTGCAGCAACCATCAACAACAACCGAATCATCAACATTATCAGCATAACCATCATCATCAGCATGATCGTTATCATAAGCATCATCAGAATCATCATCAGGATCATCATCATCATCATCATCAGCTTCATCAGCGTCATCAGCTTCTTCATCATCATCAGTAGCACATCAGCACCCTCATCATCATCATCAACAGCATCAGCATCATCATCAGCATCATCATACTCCTCCTTCTCATCATCATCATCAGCAGCATCATCATCAGCATCGTCATCATCGTCATCATCATCGTCATCTTCATCAACAGCATAATCATCATCATCATCAGCATCATCATCAGCATCATCATCAACAGCAGCAGCATCAGCATCGTCACCTTCATCATCATCATCATCAGCATCATCAGCAGCATCACCATCACAAAGACCATCATCCGCAGTAGCAGCATCATCATCCTCATTATCCTTAACCTCATCCTTGTCATGATCAAAAACAACATCATCTTTAGCATCGCCACCACCACCGCCACCACCATTATCATCATTATCATCATCAACAACACCATCATCATCATCAACATCGTCACCACCGGCCAGCATTACCAACAGCATCGTTACGCTCATCTTCATCATCCTCATCATCATTATCCTCATCATCAGAAACAGCATCAGCATCAGCATCAGCATCATCAGCATCAGCATCAGCATCAGCATCAGCATCATCATCATCATCATCATCATCATCATCATCATCATATTCATCATCATCGTTATCATCATCGTCATCATCGTCGTCATCGTCATCATCATCGTCATCGTCGTCATCGCTGTCATCGTCATCGTCGTCATCGTCATCGTCGTCCTCGCTGTCTCCCCGAGGTGCCTGCCCACCCGCTTGGCAGGTGCGCTGCCTGCCGCGCGCGGACGAGGCTGACCAGGCCGTGCCTGCGAAAATCGAGGCCTGCGCCTGAGCCGGACGGCCAGCAGCCGAGGGGTCCGAGGGCAGCCTGTCACGTGGGCGCTGAGTGGCGGTCCTCCTCCTCCTCCTCCTCCTCCTCCTCCTCCTCTTCCTCCTCCTCATCCTCCTCCTCCTCCTCCTCCTCCTCCTCCTCCATCATCGCCTCCTCCTCCATCCTCCTCTCCCCTCCTCTCCATCCTCCTCCTCCTCCATCCTC